GAGATGGGACGATAGTTGTTAAGTACCGTAGCATCCAGGCTGCTCTTTCTTAGCAGGGGCCTGATGACTGCAGTTTTCAGGGCCTTTGGGAATATTCCAGAATGAAGGGACATGTTTACTATCTGTGTGAGTGAAGGTAACAGACTGCTCAGAACAGACTTCAGAAATCTAGTGGGTAGTACATCCAGGCTGCATGTGGAGGAGCTCAAACTGGAGATTATTTCTTGGACATTTTTATCATCTACAGGTGCAAAGTAAGTTAGCTCAGAGAGCCTTTCTGGCTGTTGGATGGTTATCTGTGGATTGGAGACAATGGCGTTTTTGATGCCTTGAACCTTGTCATTGAAAAAGTGTGCAAACTCATTGCATTTACGTTTGGAAGTTAGCTCTAATGGCATCTGAACAGGGGGGTTTGTTAATCTATTAACTGTTGAAAACAGAACACGCAGATTGTTGCTGCAGCCTTCAATCATTTCAGAAAAATACCTTTCTCTCGTACTACGTAGCACCTGGTTAAACTCGCACAACTTATCTTTGAAGATCTTGTAATCAACCTGGAGGTTGGACTTGCGCCACTTCCGCTCGGCCCTCCGGCACTTTCTCTTTTGTGCCCTGACCGAGTCTGCTTTAGCCCACGGCGCCTTCTGCTTATTTTTCACTATTTTAACCTTCACAGGGGCAACGGTATCCAGAACATTCAAAACACTAGAGGTGACAGAGTTAAACAGTTCATCTACAGTAGAATACGATGCATTTTCAAAGTTTATCATTCCCATAAATAGTTCACTCGTATTTTCATTTATGTGTCTTCTTCGAACAGTTGCAGAGTCCACTGGTGGTTTGTTAGTGAAACACATGTCAAAAAATACACAGAAATGATCCGAAAGAGCAACATCGACCACGCTTATATTTGAAATATTCACCCCCTTTGTAACTAACAGGTCTAGAGTGTGCCCTCTGCTGTGGGTGGGGCCACTCACATGCTGAGTGAGACCAAAGGTATCAAGTAAAGAACTCAGCTCTTTTGCATTTCTGTCATCAACATTATCCACATGAATATTAAAATCACCTGTAATAACTAAACTATCAAAATCTGTGCATACAACTGAAAGCAACTCGGTAAAATTATCAATAAAACTGTGACATGACTGCGGTGGCTTGTATAGGACTATGAAGAGTATTGGAGGAGATTGTTTTTGTTGTATTTTAAAAGACACATATTCAAAAGACGGAAACTTCCCAAGAGACATTCTATGGGAGACAAAGTGGTCTCTAAAAATGGCAGCTAAGCCTCCTCCTTTTTTGTTTTCCCGTATTTCAGATTCAAATTTGAAATTTGGTGGTGATGCTTCTATTAAAACTGCATTTTCTGTATTTTGGTCAAGCCATGTTTCAGCCATGAACATAAGATCAAGATTATAAGAACAAATAAAATTATTGATTAAAAAAGACTTGTTAGAAAGAGATCTGACATTTAGCATAGCAAGTTTCAAAGTTTCAGTATCAGCGGTTGTGGTCGGCTGATTCTTACACGGAACAAGAATTAGATTTTCCAGATTAGACTGATTAACTCCAGATGTCTTTCTGTAATGTATTCTTTGTGTTATCACTAAGGGAATGGCACAGGTGGCTTCATGACAGGGCCCCAGCCGGGTCTCTCCTCTAACTAGACTGCCAGTGGCTGCGAAGCAGAGACCCTGTGCATCCTAGGGAGAGGAGGGAGGAGGATGGAGAGGTGGGTGGTTCTTGGGTGTTGGACGAGGGGGGGTTGGAGGTGGATGGGTGTTAGGGGAGGGGCAGGAGTTGGGAGATAGACGAGGGGGGAGTGGAGGTGGAGGGGTTCTTGGTGATGGGAAACGAGGGGGGGGTGGGGGTGGGGCTGGAATGGTTTTGGGGTTAGGGGAGGGACCTGTGGATTTTGCGGGTGAATTCGAGTTAGAATTTGAGGGACGGGTGGATTTTGTGGGAGAATTTGAGTTGGACGCCCTAGGTGGCTTTGGAGGTACGTATGGGGAGAAGTTATGAATGTTAGATAGGACCCTTGATCTGGCTACAGTGGGTGTGAGAGGAATATTCTTCATCGCCAATCTTATCATGCCTGCAGAGTGTTCCGGTAAATCCAATAGTGATGGAAAACACAGGGAAAGGTCGTCCTCATGTTCCTTAGATGGAGTGGATGTAGCGGGGGGGACCCAAACCGGGTCCATGGAAGGTGATGAGGGAGTCTTTGGTGGAGACGGAGGTGGTTGAGAGGCCCCCAGTGCAGGCCTGACTGTAGCCTGTAGCAATGGGGGGGGCTTCACGGGAGCTGTAGGTGGGGAAGGTGCTGCTGAAGATGATGCAGCAGCCACAGCTGGTGCTGGTGGTGCTGATGCTGAAGGCGCTGATGACGCTGTGGCAGCCACTGCTGCTGCTGGTGCTGGATCCTTTGCTGATGATGATGCTGGTGGACGTGTTGAGTTCTTTTGAGGCGGTGGAGGTGCCGAGACCTCTGGGTTCCGTGAGGGTCTCGCCCTTTGTATCCTCCTCTCTTTCAACGGCTGAACGCGATGCGCAGGCTGAGGTCTTAAGGCAGATGCAAAGTTATCCATCAACACTTTTACTCCGTATTTGTTCAGATGTGGGCCTTTCCCTTCAAAGAGCTCGAGCCTATTCCAGAACAGATTGAAGTTTTCAATGAATCCAAGTCCTCTGCGTGAACACTCATTGTGTAGAAATGAATTTAACTGGTACAGACGGCTAAACTTTTTCCATCTGCATATCAACAATTATCTATCCCTGCATTGTCTACCATAGAAAAAATGATGAACATGGATAGCATGGTAAAGGGACTAATCTCTAAGTTCTATAAATCTCTGATGGATGGTAGTACTAAAACATCTGTTAGAAGGCTGGATGCTTGGAGAGAGGACTTTGGTGTTCATGTTTCAATAGAAGAATGGCAGGAAGCATGTAGACATGCACAGTCTAAAACAACCAATACACGTCTAAAACTACTGCAGTACAATTGGTTGATGAGAACATATATAACACCAGGAAAAATAAAAAAATATAATTGTGCCATTCCAGACACATGCACCAAATGCAAAGTGGAAAAGGGTACTCTCTTCCATTGTCTTTGGCAATGTCCAGAAATACAAAAGTTTTGGCAGGAAGTGGCAAGTCGGGTTCAAAATATTCTAAGTGTCCAAGTGTACTAGATCCTAGAAGCACGACTCAGAGAGAGTCACAAGGCCTTCATAAATGTTGGTATATTGTTAGCAAAGAGATTGATAGCACTCTGTTGGAAAGACATTAAAAGGCCAAATATAGGACGATGGCTTTCTGAATTATCTACAACACTCCCTTTGGAAAAGATCACATATACAATCAAACATAAACAAGAGAACAAAAAAAAGCGCTGAAGAAGTGTGTTGAGCTGTACCTCTACAAAACAACAGATCATAACAAGAGGGCTTGTGACCTGATTTGTGCATTGTTAATGCAGGAGAAAATGTAGGTACATAAAAGCTTGAATTTAGTCCATTTCAGTTGTGCTTCAGGAGGAGACATAGGGAAAGGCATGGACACCTGAGCCTGAACATCAAAGCCACACTGCTTTCAATTATGAGTAATCAATATAAAGTCCTCACACACTGCATTTACTTTGTAAACTAGGATATACTTGCTGGAGTGGCTGGAACTGCTGCCATTCAATACAAAGTGGCCGCAATGGATCCCGGGTCAGAGTGGTGCGGCAACAGAGGATGTGAAATCCCCCTACATTACACCACCCCACTATTTGAGAAGGACTGGTGTGGAGGAAAGAGAGTGATGTCCACTCTTTTTAATAATGCATTATTATAAAGAGATTGTTTGTGTTTGTGTGCATGAATGCCTTGTATTGTTTTGAATGAGTGAGCCAAAACCCTTGGCTTTGTCCAACTCCTTTTCAAGAAGTTTGCCCTTTGGTCCACTCCTTGCTTTTTTAGCCCACATGGTGCGCACCTGTTCACGCCAGGGCATGTCAGGATTCCCACTGGCAGTTTCCGCAGCCCAGGCGGCCAAGGTGGCCAAGGCCTCGATCCCAGGACCTCCCGACCGGTCTTTAATTGCTAGGCTATTCTCTCTTGAGCTTGCCCAACATATAGACAATTGTGCAAAGGTGTCCTATAAATCTCATGGCACACTCCACGATTGTGGCAAAGAAAATCAGATGACAAAGGGCTACAAGTTGAAAATGCAATGATAAAACCCGGGCTAACAAAACTTGTACTCTCCAGTGGGGGCGGGTCCCAGCTCAAAAGTGGCCAAAATGACGTGCGCTGACATGCTTGCAATACCACCCCGGGCCGATGGGGGTGGACCCAGAAGTAGAATTAGATAATGCTAACATATAGCATTGGCAGACCTCTCGAAAACGTCTTTACAGGATGGACCAAAAGTTGGCTCTTGGCCCAAAGCTCCGTTCCACATGTGTGTCAATGCTGAGGGGGGTGAATTTTTTTGGACCACTCTAGTTTACTTGCTGTGAATTTTTGAAGTATCTCGTTCAAATGAATGGAGCTGCGCCGGCTGACTTATGCGCAGATGCGTTTTTTCACAATTTTCTTGTGGGCGGGACCACTCGTGGCCATTTTGGATTTCTCCAGTAGAGCACATTTTTTGGCCCATTAGTTAGAACGGCGGAGATAGGCGTGACTCTGTCCGTTAATATATACAGTCTATGGTACTCCCTTACATATACGTTTGAAATAATAATATAAACAATGCTACTAATGTTATTCAAATCATGTGTAACCAACATTAATAATGTTTTGGTACTATGGTATTATGTTTGGCTTACACTGCTGTGTATGTCGGTAGGGTCTGTCAATTATAGATACAAAGGATACAGATGTTTGTTTTATATTTTTGTTTCTATTAAAAATGGGACATTTTAAAACACAATTGCTTTCATGTTTGTCAAAAAATGGCTATTCCATATTTTTCCAACACCCTCTGCTCTTTGTGACCTGCAGGAGCTCAGTGCACAGCCGCTCTCAGGTAAACCTTTTTTACAAAAACATATTGAGGAAACATTAACAGCTGTTTTTGGTGAACAGTGATACTGCTGGCTGGGGTCTACTCAATTATGTCTCAAAATGTGTTAAATAATCTTAACCCCCAAAACTCCTGGAAAAAAATCTGTAATTAGAATCTTAGAGTCCTATGGAGTATGTACAAATGGAAACCTCGTTATAAAGGTGGGGCCCTTTGCCTCCAAGGACTCATTTATTCGATAAATGGTAAAGAAAGGAGGGGACACTCCAGTTGGTTGCTCAACTGGAGTTTTGAGCAACATTCTGGTCATTCTAGTCCCCCCTGGTCAACTAGAATGACCAACTGTTAAAAAAAAAAAATATGTAGGGATATGTGATGAAGAAAAGGGTTCATTATTCATCCTTAGCAACATAGGTACGTTTTGGACTATGTTTTGGAATTTGAAATTCCAACTGGATTTAAAATTAGGGAATTTTTTTTTTTTTTTTTATTGCATTGGCAAATAGTACAATAGATAGCAGAGTGGCCCTCAGGAGTGCAACTGAAACATGTTTTTAAAAACATTGTTTAAACATTAGGCCCTGTGCTGGACATCCCTGAATTCATCTCAGCCACTCACTTTACTTACACACTGCAGTGCATGATGATGATGTGATATTATTTGCATAGAAGGATCAATAATAACATGCTTTTTTGAGTTGAATAGTTTCTAATAATATAGCAACAATTGTGTATGAAACTGTGTTTTTCACACTGCATGAACAGCTCTTGTGATGTGGTGCCAAATAACACTGGTGAATAATGAAGCCTGAGTGCTTTTAACAGCAGGACTGGCAACGGTGTGTGAGGCTTTCCAAACAGCTCGGCCAATAATACCTATTCCTTTTCTATGTTGGTTGAATAAAGTAAAAACACACTTACATAGTGAAATACATAAATGGTTGTTTCCTATATAATTCTTATTGATGCCCTATCAGTAAATACTTGTTTGGTTTTCATTTATGTATCAAATATTGGTTGAAACAATATCAGAGTTTGTTTTATCTGATGTTATGAGAATATTTATTGGGCCTGGCCCAATAACCTGTTTACAGTTCTATCCATATTTTTTTCTATCTATATTTTATATTCTTAAGACACTTAACCCCACTTTGCCCGAAGACCCTGCTGAAAGATCTCAGCTCCTGTGGACTCACCACCTGCAGGAGGATCAGTGAGGGGCTGGTGCTATGTGTACTGGGTGCAACTCTGACTGCCACCCCCCCCCTGACCCAGAAATGGATTAAGGGGAAGAAAATTGATGGATGGATGGATTTTATATTCTAAAATATGAAATGCCAAGTGATGTTTTAGAGATGCAAAATATTTCTTCTTAAATGCAAATTATTAATATGGGATTTAAGAACGCTGGTGCAAATTCCTCCTTCCTCACCCTCCCCATCCTCATCCTCCCTCATCCTCACCCTCGCTCACTGCTGCTGTCCCGCCTGTCCCACAGACCTGTTCTGGCCCTCCGTATGCCCCAGGCAGGGGGGCGACTCTATGTCAAACATCTTTGTGGAGCCTTCTATTAACAGCCGTGCTGCTCAGGGGCATTGCCCCCTGGAGTCTAAGGGAGGTACTGCAGCAGACACAGACTCTTGCCTTGCCATCCAAAACATATATTTTATGCAAGTTCATTTGTTCCCTCATCAAAAACAAAACTTAATATTCGATGTCTGGGTAATTGCCATCATTTGGTACTTGCAGTCATTTGATTGCTAGAGGGGTTGTAATTCCCACTGGCACCAGTTGTTGCCCCTATTTGAACTGTACTCAAGAATATGTTTATGGGCAAAAAATAATGTCTGTTTTTGCAAAATATGATTATGATTATTATTTTTTACAAATGTCTTTTCATGAAAAAAAAATGCACAAGTTTTGAAGGTGTTACTACTCTGTTAGATCGGAACAAAATTTCCAAGGCTGGAGTCCTGTTTACATAGATGTAACATTAGTCCTGCTTGCATACAGGACTAATGTTCTGGAGATGTGCCCTTAACAGGCTCCACATTTTCACACAAATCAATCATCATTTGGCTGTGCTGCGCAGGCGTCTGAAAAAGCTGAGCCTTGGTTGTCATGGCGACTGGCCAACATGATGGAGGAACGTGTTCAGAACAAAAAGCCACAGCAGCCTTTGTAAGAACACATGTTTTCAAGGCTGAGTGCAGACGGAGATAAAAATGGTACAACTCTAAGGGCAAACTCTTCACTATTTCACCGTGATTAGGCTATCTTCTAGACAAAATACGAGCATTTTTTCTAAAAGTTCACGCACAAGTAACAGACAAGTTCTACATCATCTCCATCTCCATCATCGCCATAGTAACTTCCTTTATTTAAAGCAAAGGAAGGTTTCTCACCCATCATCTGTACTTATTAGCAAGTTTTCCCGACGTTTCGTCCTCAAACCAGCGGACTTCTTCAGGGAATGAATTCTCAGACCGCGCGTTGGAGATTTATAACCTATGGGTGTGGTTAGCCACACCCTAATCCTGATACTAACTCAAAAACCTTCCTTTATTTAAGTTCTCTCAAATTATTCATGGCAAGATACATTAACTCAATTTTTTTAATTATTGTGAAATTGTGGCAATTGATTTCCTTAGTTTTTTTGAGTTCTTATTCAGGTTTACAGTGTTCTCAAGGGAACATCTCTCAGTGAGGTGTCTCCAATATGCTAATATTTCATCTCCAATATTTCATCTTTAATTCAGACACACAAAGAGTCCATATAAAACAAACACAACAAGAAAAAAGACAAACAGCACACTTCAATGTTTACACAATTCTATAAAGACAGTTTCTCCAATGCTTATATATTTGAGAAGTGGGCCTAACACTGCTCAGTACATGAGAAGTAAACCCATTCATTATTACATTTAAATGTAATAAACGCTCTCCAGAGCGTTTCATGAACTTATAAATACATAACATCTCTGATTACAGCATTCCGTGGACATTAATAAGGACAGTGAGCTTACTGTACACTGGTCCAGCAAGGAACTTTCAGTAAAAGTCTCAGTGCATCACGGGTGGCACAGTCGCTGAGTGGATAGCACTCTCGCCTCTCAGCAAGAAGGTCTTGGGTTCGAATCCCGGTCGGAACGGGTTCTATTTGAATGGAGTTTGCATGTTCTCCCCATGCTTGCGTAGGTTTCCTCCGGGTACTCTGGTTTGCCGTACCACTAAAAACATTCACACTAGGTTAAATCCTCCAGCTCCGGTAGTCCTGACCAAGAAGAGCATCAACATCTGGAGATGGGTTCCCAGGAGCTGTTACTACGGCGATCACTGCTCCTGACGCAAGCCTTAGCTGCATCAGGATGGGTCAAATGCAGAGGATTGAATTGCCCCACGAGGATCAATAAAGTGCACCTTTAACTTCAATGTATGCAACCTGCTGCTTTTTATATTTGCTCTTGCTGTATCTGCACCACAGGTGGGCAGTATAGAGCGGTGTGCAGTAGGCTTTAAACAAAGCTATTTTCACTTTGTCAGTGCACATGTGAAATTTCTGTGCCAATGTGTTGCCTGTCCATATAGATTACATTACTGCCTCTGAATGTCGTCGTCATCACTGAGGTCACTCCTTATGACGTGCCGCAGGTATTTGGCCTTTTCTACATTCATAAGCGCCACACCAGACAAATAAAAGGCAGGCAGAGTTCTACAGGTGTTCTCTGGTCCTCCCCACCATTACTACAGACTTCTTAGAGTTAAACTTAACTTCATATTGTTCCCCATATTCTGTGCAGACTCTCAGCAACTGCTGCAGACCTGCAGAGTATCAGAATCGGAATCCTTTTATTGCCATGTGAGTAAAAAGGAGTCACAAACTAGGAAATTGCTCTGGCTCTCGGTGCAAAAAAGTTAAAGCAGAATAAAATCAAGAAGGCATGGATAAATAAAAATCTACATAAATTTCTTTAGTTTACTATATACAAGATAACTAGGTGTACCCAACAGACAGTTGAATGCAGTAGAGTGCAGTAAAGTGACAGTAGCATAAAGTGACGGTCATAAGGGCAGAGGTCAGTGATGTTTTATGAAGTGTTCAAGAGTCCAACAGCAGAGGGGAAGAGACTGTTCTTATGGAGGGAGGTTCTAGTCCAGATGGACCGTAGTCTCCTGCCTGAGGGGAGTGGTTGGAATAGTCCATGTGCGTGGTGAGAGGGGTAAGCAGAGATACGAACAGCCCGCCTGTGAGCTCGGGCGACATACAGGTCCTGCAGCGATGGGAGGCTGCGGCCAATCACCTTCTCTGCAGAGCGCACAATGCGCTGTAGTCTCTGTTTGTCCCTGACTGTGGCTCCAGCAAACCACACGGTGATGGAGGAGGTGAGGATGGACTCGATGATGGCGGTGTAGAACTGCACCAACATCTGTGCAGGTAGCCAGGCTTTCCTGAGCTGCTGCAGGAAGTGCATCCTCAGCTGGGCCTTTTTGATGAGGGAGCTGATGGTCGGCTCCCACTTGTGGTCCTGGGTGATGGTGGGTGGTGCCCAGGAAACAAAAGGACTCCACAGAGGTGATGGGGGGATGGGGGAGTCCATCAGGGAGGGCGGGGGTGGGGGGATTATGCTCTTCCTGAAGTCAACAATCATCTCCACTGTCTTCTGGGCGTTCAGCTCCAGGTTGTTACCACTGCACCAGGACACCAGCCGGTCCACCTCCCTCCTGCAGACTCATCGTTGTTGGAGATGAGTCCAATGAGGGTGGTGTCGTCCGCAAACTTGATGAGCTTAACGGAGTCGTGGCTGGAGGTGCAGTGGTTGGTGTACAGGGAGAAGAGCAGGGGAGAAAGAACACAGCCCTGTGGGGCTCCTGTATTTATAATCCTAGAGTCCGAGACATTCTTCCCCAGACGCACTTACTGCTTCCTGTCTGTGAGGAAGTCAGTGATCCACCTGCATGGGGGAGATGATGACCAGATCATCTGCATAATGAAGGTGGTTCAAGAGTCTATCTCCAATAGTGCAGCTAGTCTTACACTGCCTTAACTTCACAGAAAGCTCACCCATATAAACCTTTAAAAGCATAGGTGACAGAATTTCACCCTGTCTCACTCCATTTGCCACTTGAAACGGTTCTGACACTGCCGTTCCCCTCTAACTTGCATGAACTCTGAACATTGTAAAGTGCTTTGTTTTTGAAGCGGGAACAATGTTTTACAAAAACATTACATTACACATATATTGCCGTTTTGAGAGTGAAAATGTGACTGAGGTGAGATTTGAATCACAGTTGCTGATATGCTAGCACTGTGACACAACCACTGGACTATCGTAGCACCAATGAGGATGCATACACTGGTAGTAGTCTCATATTCGTTGTACACCGCCTTGTCATCTTGAACATCCGTTAAAAAAGACCAAATACCAAAAGGGAGAAAAGGCTGTGAATTTTTTTCGTTTCTAAGGGCGTAGTTATGGTCTTATCTCAATTTCGGGGGATCAGACAAAAAAAAAAAAACATTGATTTTGAAACCTTTTAGACCTTTAAAACCTAAAATGGTATTCAAACTGTATTTCTAAATCAATCAAACCCTGCATAAGGTCTTTAAATGTCTTTACTCTCCAATTATGGTCTTTACTCTTTGTTTCAGCCACATTTGCCATGGAGATCAGTGTGGAGCTGGATAAACAAACTGGAAAAACTCAGGTTATTTCCACAGCTTCCGTCACACCAGAGACAATCCACGAAAAAGGCTTGAAGGTATACGAGGACAGCCTCAAGTCTGTGTTTGCACTGCCGCCTGGTGAAGCCACCAAAGTGGAGACAGAGATGACCCCCACAGAAGTAGATGAGCTGCTCCGTCAGGCCACCCACTGGAGTGGGGATGTCTTGTACCACCAGCCCGTCCATGCGGCCCCCTTCACCGGTACAAGCAGTCCTCGTCCAATCCAAAACAAAGAATTCAGAACCCTAGACCCATCCCAAAGTCTGTTTGGGTCAAGGCTGGAAGTATATGCAGAGATAGGGTCCACTATCAACATTGAAGCAAATAAACATAATATTTCAAACTACAACACACAGGTGGCTGATGATGTAAATGATAGTTCTTACAGTATATTTGGATCCACATCATCTCCATTTCATAACTATGAGTTTAACCTAGATTTTGCACAAACAAATAGTCGATTTTTACATTGTATCCCCAATCTTAATGATTTGATATCTGAAGACATTTCTCGTTCAATCCAACCACCGTGGATGAATGAAAATAATGAATACGGACAAAGAAAAACCCCAAGTCCTGCAATAAGTGAACACACTCCAATTAAGCGTGACAAGATGAGGCAAAATACTATTGACAACCAAAAATCATTATTGGTTTCAGTCCTGGAAAGTTCAGACGGGGTAACGACTCCGACTCAACTATTCTACAAAACCATAGAAATAAGCTCTCCATCCCCTCAAGGAAATGGTTTGGACACAGGTGAGAGCCATTTTGGGCACAACACACCATCCCTTGATCGAGCCAACCGTGTTTTGGAGGAACTATCTCCAGGAGCAGTCACTCTGGTCTTTATGGGCTACGAAAATGTGGATGAAGATGAAGACAACCCAATCCAGGCAGAACTTGTGATGATGGGGAACAGCGAGGAAGAGAATTCCAGTGGCAAAGAGGTTTTTTCAGTCTACCACCCAACCGGTTGCACCAGCAAAACATTGCAACCTCAAGTGGGCATTGCCGGGGTGAAGGATGGCAGATATTTCAACGAGGAACATGAAGGTGGTGAGTCTCTGCTGCACAAGCCTACTTTTAAGCACAGGTCAATCAAGAACGCTAGCAAATCCGAAGGATGGGATGGTGCAAGGCTGTGACAAAGATTTGTAACAGGTGACCAGAGATGAACAGAAAAATACAACTTTGTATTTATTGTATGATATTTTTGTGGTTGTGTGCTCTGAATAGGGTTTAATTTCAAACATTAGTAAATTATTAAATACATACTCTTAAATTAAATAATATCCCAACAAACAGGAGTGTTTGTCTTTGTGGTTTCAGTGGTAGTCCATTAAAGACGTTTGTTACATTCCTTGTCATTATATTTTTACAAAGTTGATTTTGTTAGTTATGTCCCCTGTCATACATACATACTCAACATTATTTAAGAGCGATACATTGTGCAGGTATTTCCCTCAGGGAGAAAAAAGGTGTATAGCTATTTTAATGTTAATTTTCGGAAACAATACATGCATTTGGCAGATATTTTGTGTTTTTTGTTTGCTAAAATCAATGTCTTTTGTGTGTCTTTCTTAAGATACACATTTACAGTGAAGAACAATTGTTCTATTTTAGCTGGCTGAAATATACATTGGACATTTTTGTAGGTGCATCGCTGTTGCTGCTTCTGAAATGGGCCAGTGTTTTGACAACATTTAGTCATATGCTACATGGTTAGGCTGTAATTCTGTAAGATGTACAGAAGATGAATTTAATAGTGTAATAATTTGTTAGTATCTTATTGTCATATTCTCTGTCAGCATGAAACATTTCTACAATGGAAAATAAATAACGTATTTCAATGGCTAATGAATGAAGTTGCCTACAGTTTCAGTTTTGATGAATACACATAAAGTATACAAGTGCTGTACACAGTGCCACCCTGTAGGACTGCCTTTGTGAGAGCATAAAAATTGGTCCATCCATCCATTATCTTCCGCTTCATCCGTTACCGGGTCGGGGACCCCAAGGCATTCCCAGGCCAGTTGAGGGATTGACCAATAGCTTTGCCTTTCGGCTCAACTCCCTCTTTACCACAACGGTCCGATACAGCGACCGCATCACTGCGCACGCTGCACCGATCCGCCTGTCAATCTCACGCTCCATCCTTCCCTCACTTGTGAACAAGACCCCGAGATACTTGAACTCCTCCACTTGAGGAAGGACCTCTCTCGGCCCACCTGGAGTGGGCAGGCACCTTTTTCCGGTTGCGCAAAAGGACCTCAGATTTGGAGGTCCCACCTGTTAATATCATTCCAGCCGATTCTCATTCCAGCCCACACTCAACTGTAAACCGTTCCAGTGCATGTTGCAGGTCCTGGTTCGCTGGAGGCAACAGGACAACATCGTCCACAAACAGCAGAGATGAAATCCTGTTGTCTCCGAACCGGACCTACTCCGGGTCCTGGCTGCGCCTAGAAATTCTGTCCATAAATACAGTGAATAGAACCATTGACAAAGGGCAGCCTTGGCGGACGCCAATATGCGCATGGGAACAGGTCTGACTTACTGCCGGCGATGCAAACGCAGCTTTGAATCCAGTCATACAGGGACTGCACAGTACTCCCGGAGAACCCCTGACACCCCGGTGAACACAGTCAAACGCCTTCTTCAAATCAACAAAGCAAATGTGAACAGGTCCATCCATCCATCCAATTTCTTCCTCTTAATCCATTTCTGGGTCGGGGAGTGGCAGTCAGAGCTGTACCCAGTACACTCAGCACCAGCCCCTCACTGATCTTCCTGGAGGTGGTGAGTCCACAGGAGCAGATATCTTTCAGTGAGGGCTTCAGGCAAAGTGGGGTTAAGTGTCTTGCCCAAGTACACAACGACAGCAGTCTTCAGTGGGAGTAAAGTGAAGTGTCCAATCCCTCTCAAGGAGTTGGGTTCAAGAGCCCAAGCTGTGTGGAGGTGAAGCCGATCTCTGGTCTGTGTCTCTCAACTTCCCCCACAAGCTCAGGCTCCTTTTCTCCCAGTGAGGTGACGTTCCATGTCCCAACAGCCAGATGTTGTGTGTGCGGACCGAGTTGTTGAGTTCCTCTCAGCACCGCGGGGCACCTGCCGTTGTTTGCTGTATGAACTCCAACAGGATTCCACATCCTCCATGGCCGCAGCGTTCTGACCCGGGGCAGCTGTGGCCACTCTGGACAGCGTTTCCCACCTCCAGCAGCTGTGAGCGTGAGCCGCTTTGACAACCATACGTAATGTGATACAAGGCCATACACGCACAGAGAACTATTCTCTGCATGTTGTGTGTGTGTCTTTGCTTAACCTGTGCATGCAATAAATACACCGCTGAAGCTGGACTATGGAGCCTCAGGAAGTGTCCACGTTTCCTCAGTGTCTCCACCTGAAGCGCAACTAAACTCGCTAAATTAAAGCTGGGGTGCCTAATTTCCCTTGCACTAACAGTTCATGTTGGTTGTGCCCAAAAGTAAAATGTTGTGAGCAAATCAAACAGACTTAATGACAGGCATTGGCTGACATTATGCATTTCAGACTCTTTTGAAATGTCCCATTCTCATCTCTGTATTCTGTGTCTCTACAGAAAGACAGAATAATAATAACCTTGACAGGCAATGCCATTTTATATGGATTTATTGTCGTTCCACTGATGACTGCTGTCGTTGTGTCCTTGGGCAAGACACTTAACCCCACTTTGCCCAAAGCCCCCACTGAAAGATCAAGGCTATGCTCACACTCAGAGAGCAGCCGTCCTCCTGTGGACTCACCACCTGCAGAGGGTCAGTGAGGGGCTGGTGCTATGAGACTTGGGTGGCATCTCTGACTGCCACCCCCCTGACCCAGAAATGGATTAAAGGGTAGAAAATGGATGGATGGATGGATTGTCGTTATAATTATAATACAGCACATATGTACACTATGTTGTCATTTATCTTTCAAACCAAACAACCATTTTCAGAAAAATATGACATTTTGCCAATAGTTCGAAATGCGATTAATTACGATTCATTCATTTTAACCCTCTAGGCGCCACGGTCGACTTAAGTCGGCAAGCTGCGCTACTGTTAAAAACGGCCGAGTGTGTCCAACTGAGTGTCAAAATTCATTCATACTCCCTGCCGCTAGTTGGCAGACATGTCAGACTACCTCCCTGGCCCCAAAAAACGTCATGCTCCCATACAAAATATTCGAGCAAGACCACGTTGAACCAGTGCAGAAATCATTGTAAAGCAAATGCAGCTGCGGGGCAGCCTGCGAGTGTTATAGCGCACCAAACACAAACTTTAGACACTTTGTACAGGGTCTGCAGTGGGAACAGTGTTTCTCAGAGTAAGGCCAAGTCATTGAGAGGTTCGGAGACAGGTTAGATTTGCGGAAAACAAGCCTGGAACTCGCGTCGGGGCGCCGCGCCGCGACCTCCCGCCTCCACTGAAGTTTCCGCTAAAGTCTCCGCTAAAAGCGCTTCCCACATATTTATTTTCATGCCTCCCGTAATCACCGGGACAGTAACGTGTTGGAGAAGCTTTGTCTTGTGTGTGTTAGACGAGAGAGAGATCAGGGGAGATGAGAGAGAGAGCAGGGGAGACAGCAGCAGCAGGAGAGTCGCGGTGACGCGGGTCTGGGTAGATTGCTCACAGCAGCACCATGATTGTATTTTTTACTATTTTCATGAACATTTACAATGTTACAGTGTGTGTTCTGTGTGTGTTCATGTATTAGTGATCAATATATGTCTGTCAGTTAGAAAAATACTAATATTGTATGAAAATTAAATAATCCACTATTTCGTCATAATATGCAAATTAGATGGGGGGATTTATTCCCTACATAAACTTTGGACCATCCTTAATATTTTTCTAATTTACAGAAAGCCTTTATCTCTTACTACTTTTAAGTTATAGCCTTTTGAAATTAAGATCTCAAAATCGAGCGTTTTGGAAAAAAACCTCTGGCGCTTAAAGGGTTAAAGCTGTAATTAACTCTCAGCCCTACAATATGAATAAATAAACATAAAACAATTAAATAAATAAAAACATAAAACAATTAAATAAATAAAATAGAGGACCACACAACTCATACAGTGTTTCCAGCATTCCAACAATGGAGCTGTCTTGACGGGGGGCAGAGTGTTCCAGAGCTTTGATCTGGCCACAGAGAAGACCCTGTCCCCCTGGGTTTTAAGTCTGGTCTTAGGCACCACGGGCCGAAGCTGGCCCTCTGACCTCAGCACGTGGGGCAGGTGATCTGAGATGTACAATGGGGCCAGCACACCCAAAAACAAACAATACAATCTTAAAATACATTCTAAAATTAACAGGAAGCCAGTGCAAAGAAGCTAAAATCGGAGTAATTGTGCTGATGTGTTTTGGTCCCAGTTAAAAGCCGTGCCACGGTATTCTGGACAAACTGTAAGCGTGAAAGTGCATGTTGTGAAGTTCCAGTGTGAAGCGCATTACAGTAGTTCAGACGTGAAGAAATAAAAACGTGCACGACTTGTTCAAAATGTTTAATAAAAAGGCTTTATCTTTGTTAATAGACAACAGTGATAAAAGCCTGATTTCATGACATGATCTGCCTGTCAAGGTTAAAATCATTGTCCATGGTGACGCCATGGTTGGTGGCAAAGGGATGGACATTATACCTGTGGGTGCCCAGATCCAATAGGGGATCTGTAGGCCCAAACAAAACAATTTGTTTCCCCCTCATTTAAGCATTGAAAGTTTTGGGTCAATCAACCCTTTGACGTCACGAAGCCAGTCCAGCATGGGTGTCAGGGGGGCCTTCTGTTTCTTTGAGATGGGCATATAGATCTGGCAGTCATCTGCATAAAAGTGATAAGCGATACCATGCTTTCTAAAAATGGCACCAGAGGAGTGGGCCAAGAATAGAACCCCTCATCATTACCTGCCCTCTTAACTGGCTCTACGGCTGTCAACCCCTCTGGCCTTACCAACAATCCTGTTGTAGGTTCTAGTCTCAAGATATGGTTTCAATTTAGGAAGCAGTTTGGTTTTTCTGATCCTTCTTCTCTCAGCATTGCGGCTCATCCATAAAAATACTATTTGTGCCAGCTTGTCTTTGATTCAGTTTAAAGTTTTGTTTAGATGTCACTACTCAAAGACAAGACTGGGCC